TTTCTGAACACACAGATTTGTAGAGCAAACGTTTCTGATCAAAATAAGACCTCGCACAACTCTGTATGACGTTGCATCAAGAAGGTACAGGCATTTTCCTAGAAGTTCTAAAATCAAGTATTCCATACAGCGTTTAATACAGCGTTTTCACTATATAAGAGTTACGCCTAAAATGCGTCCCAAAATTTTTAATAGCGGTTTGTCCTAGAGAGTTCAGTCTTTTTTTGTCTAAAAGAGGTCATTGCTTATCTTTAATGGCTCGAGCCATTAAAGATAAAGAAAAAACATTTATTGATGGTGCTATAACTTTCAGGTATTCCTGTATCAGCTGGGTTACATCATAGTCATGTTTTTACTGACGAGATAGTCGGTTTTCTGATCAAATTACTGATTTTTCCTGTTCAGTAACTGTTTTACTGACCAGGATCTGGAAGAATTCCTAACCAGAAACTGGAAATAACCTAAGAACCACGTACTGATTTGTGATAAGATTAGTCGCTGGTTTCATAGTCAGGCTCTGGATTCTCAAGATCAGATCATCTGATCTTTCACTAGGGCGGGACCAAACATTTTGGTCCCGCGGACGTTAGCGCGGGAGCCTTTTTGTCCTTTAGGTCTGAGACTTTTTCGAATAATGTTTCGGATATTCGTCCACTACGGTGAAAAATCAGCTGTTTTGTGTGATACTATCGGTAGGTAACGTTGATGAAAGGTCATTTTGCATACAACGTATAGCGAATTCTTTTTATTAAGAAAAAGAGATGAACTGCATGAACCGTGACCATTGCACGTTCTTTTATCGACAATTGTTATGTTGAAGGAGGAGAATAAACGCAAAAGAAATTGAAATGTCACTTTAAGTTTTGTTCTAATGGATGAGAAGTGGACTAGGTGAACCTGGATGTTTTTTCTCTTTTGACAATACACCGCAATGAGTGTTCTAATGTACAACACTAGTTTTCGTAAAAATTCGAAAGATTTAGAATCATTATCGCATATGAGTGATGATAAACTACCCTCGGTCGATGGTGAACGTAAAGTAGCCGGTGATAGCGGAATTGATTCAACATCGTCCGATTCAATCACCGAACGAGCAACAGAACTTCAGGGTAACGTCTTGCATATTTAATTTGTTAGTGTTAGTTTCTTAACTCTAAACTAGCTTAGATGGATGTAATTATTGTTAGTCCCAGCTACCTTATCTTTTCGTATAACGTCTTCGGACAGACTTGTCTCGTCATGTAAAAGTTTACATTGACAGTTTTCCTAGATGCCCGAATTTGTGCTTTTTCGAACTCTTTGCAAAAATTGAATATCTCAGCAGCTGGACAACTTTAGGATCTGCGGTTTTGGCCAAACGTCATGAAAATGTTTGCTCTTACTATGGAGGAAATCTGAGGTGGTCGACCGAGCACGTTAGGTCATTGCTTATCTTTAATGGCTCTTATAGCCAATTTTAATTGAAATTTTTGAAAATAAAATTTATTGATGGTGCTATAACTTTTAGATATTCCTGTATCAGCTCAGTTACATCATAGTCTCGAGGAAACGTCCAAATCAGATCAGACGTGAAAATACGAATTATTGCAGCAAAACCAGGAGTTTGCATAACTTTCTTACAGGGAGGGCCACATTTTATGACGTACGTGCATATTTCTAATGAGCCTTTCTGTGAAGAAAATTATCTAACAAATCGTTCTTTCAGCCTTGACGATGTGTCTGTGCGCTGCGGGCACTTTTGTTTAAAAACTGCATAAAGCGCTTTTACTGAACCGTCTCACGGTGAACCAATACGCTGCAGTATGCCGAATGCTACCTTAGTATATCGAGTTAAAAAAGTAGCGGAATTTTGTTATATTCTGGGTTGTTTTCCGCTAGCCGTCAAAAATAGATGTCAATTGGCGGCTAGCAGAAAGTTTGAAAAAGGCTAGCCGTTAGATTAAAAAGTATGTAAAAATGACAAAATGGCTGCTGAAATAAAGAGATTTTCGAAATAAAACAGCAATGAACCTGTTTTAAGCCATAAAACTGTGTGAATTAGAAGGATTGGATGTGGCTTCGTACTGAGCTTTTTCTAAAAAAGAGGAATTAAGGAGGAATCACAAAATCTTGAAAGGAGGAACGCCATATCAAACACGTGCTAGAGAGGATGAATAGAATCTTTTGAATTCGAAATGTGCAAGATATTTATACATGATGAACAGAGAGGCAGAAAAGAAAAATAGAAGTTAAAAGAATTATTACAGTTTTCTCTTTTAGCGTGTCTTTATCTTTTCTTGATGTCGTATACAGATATCTGTATGTCAGCATAAGAATACATACAGAAACGAAAGCATAATCTGCATCATCTTCATCTTCTTTGTAAGTTTTATAAGTATATGAGTTACAGTATCGTTTCATTCAAAACCAATCTAATCCAAATAGATTGATTTTGAATGAAACAATACTGTAACATACCTACTAATAAAACTTGTGATTGGTTCTTATTATATGTGATATTTTATGGATCATAACGACTGATGACTTTTTTAAACCGCAAGAAAGGCAGAGATAAGAATTCTTTTTTCTGGTATCTGTATCATTTCAAAGATTCAATTCGTGCAACTGACGTCACTCGTGAGTAAAGAGTAGTGGAACTCAAAAACGTTTTTTAATTGTAGAAAAATTGAAAGTTGGTTTCGTCAGTCATTCTAAATATCAAAAGGCGGTGTTTTTTCTTAGAGAATGCACTAATCTCAGCAGTTTTCTTATGTAGAGGCTTAATTAAAGATGTTAATTGTGTGAAGACCTCAGAATAAAGATCCACAGAAGTGAGAAATGAATGAAAAGGTTGATGTCTAACTGAGCGTAAATGATTTCCTTGATTCCGTCATGTTCCTGAAGAGAAAACTGGGTAAAGCATCATGCGAATAAAGCCAGTAAGTGGATTACTACAATTCTTCAGAAGTGTAAAGGAATGAGAACTGTAAAGAAGTTTTCTTCGAAAAAGTCTCAGTCCTGTGATAAACGTTCATCCCGGGGCTTGCAAAGGTTCCGTAACTTTTTCTCAGACTACTTTACATTATGTTTTACTTGGACTTTTCTTCAAGAACATGATATAATATGACCCCAGCAGGGTCTAATGCAGCTAACATGCTACGTTCAGCATGTTTTAGCCGGCTGTTTCTTCGGGAACATGATGAAAACAAGCTATTTTGTTCACTGCGGCCTCAGTTATAGAGTGAGCTGAAACCAAATATAATAATTTTATTTCTGTCCGTTTCTCATGTTGAAAATCTTCACCTTCAAATCACGTATAACATGTGTAGACACGCGACGTGTCTATCGTATAAAATATATGTTATATATAATATAGTCAGACAGAAAGTCGAGCAGGTGGCGTATACAAAATATTTTTGTGACCACTTAATGGAGAGTTCGGGTTTGTTTTATTTTAAACTAGACACCTAATTACATCGACTAACCGGCCTCGATTTTTCAATTAAGCCTTTACTGGTTTTCCAGGCAAACAACAATCTCTGAAACCCGAAAAATCCTCAGTTTGACAAAAACTAAGACCTAATTCAAAAATCGACGCGGGTCAGTCGATGTAGTTTCTTTTCCTCTCTTACATAAAAAAAGAATGAACTCTCTAGGACAAACCGCTATTAAAAATCTTGGGACGCACTTTAGGTGTAACTCTTATATAGTGAAAACGCTGTATGAAATACCCGATTTTAGAACTTCTAGGAAAATGCCTGTACCTTCTTGATGCAACGTCATACAGAGTTGTGCGAGGTCTTATTTTGATCAGAAACGTTTGCTCTACAAATCTGTGTGTTCAGAAAAATTAACTGCATAAGTATCCAGGAAAAAGCCATTATCTGAAGACCCGTTTTCTCGAGGCTCTTAGAAAACTTGCTCAAAATCTCCGAAAAACCAGTTTTGTAACCAAAAGCAATACAGATTTTGGAAGTAAACACTTCGGGCTATCCAGAACACGGGGGGTATAGAAGCCTGTTGAACAAATTGTTTTGGGGATAGTCAAACTGTCTGATGTTTACTGATTACAGCTATGAGCGTCTTAGAGTTTTAAAATCACTAAATTAATGAATATTCACTTATTTGATTCTATTTACTGAATTCTAACGCTACTATAGCAAATTACCCCTGCATTGCTTAATATGAGTGATTCTGGTGTTTATTGTACCAATCAGCCTTCACTGATAGATCGTGTTCTCTCTGCTCTAATGCTAACCGAAACTCGTTAAGACTTATGCCATTTCATTCAGGACACTTCACGAGCGCGCTAAGCAAAACTAGCTATGTTTTTCGTCTTTTCAAAAGTGTAATTAACCGTTTACCCCCGATGTCCGCATCCCTTGGATATTGATAAAATCGATATACAAAATAGCGAAGTGTCATGTTGGAACCGGATTTTGTTCCAACTTTAGAGACTTCATAAGCTCTCGATTCGTAAAAAAGAAATTTTCTTCTATGGATCTTTACTCAGATAATTAAGTTTTGAAATTAAAGTATTTCAAATTTTTGAATTTTTTTAAGAGCTTTTACCATAGCTTTAGTAATACAAGGATTTTCAGATGTAGCGGTAGATAACTATTGCTACAAGGATCCTTTCTATAATTACACAGGAAAAGAAATTTTCTGTGGAGTTGTCTTGACCTATCGTGTCCAGTAATGAAATTTCCGCCCCTGTGGACATTAGAGGGGAGTGACACAGAAAGTACTCATTTTTAAACATATACACATTCTTTCTCTTCTGTTCTTTTAAGGTGCAGAGTTTTATTTTTCGTCTTTTTGCCATAGTTGTATAGAGCACATCGACCTGCATAGAAAAACTTAATCTACCAATTTTGAAACACATTTTTTAGTTAAAAAAAATTTATTTCTATTTTCGGATTTGGAACTTACAAAACTCACACTGACTTCGGGAACCGTTGAAGAGGGGCAGGATGGTAAAAGGTCCGTTGGCTAACCTTGAAAGCCTATCTAGTCCTAGAATTTGGACGATAAAATTCTCTTTCATGCTTCATCCTCACTTATATACTTATGAGACAAAGAAGTATGTAAGTTTACCGATTTTGAAAAATTTTACTTGGTTGTCGAAAAATTTAGTTTTTATGAATTCAGCGTGAAAAACTCTGAAACTGGATCTGTACTTTGTCATTTTCTCGGTCAAAACTCAACATTTTGACAAAAACAAGGTCATATTCATATTCAGGGTCAAAAGTGAGTCGAATGACATGGATGCCAGGACTTTTGAATGACTTCGCAGTTTTTTATTTTTTTCTGAAGTCCAAAACCAAAACGTTCACTCAAACTCCAAATATTCTCCAAGACATTGAGACCCATGTCATTCGATGCAGTTTTTGATCCTGATTTTGAATATGATCTTGATTTTCTCCAAATGTTGAATTTTGACAAAACAAGTTCGGACAACACAAAGAAAAAAGTTGCGTTTTTCATGTTGTTCCATCCTTGTCACCTAGGCAACTTCATTTTATTTTAAGTATGGAATGGACGTAGTGAGCACTCAAAAGCTCCACTTTAGTAGTCACGTTTCCTAGATCTTCGAAAAAATCTCCTCTGGGGCTAAAGGGTTAAGCTGATTCTAATGAAAAAATAGTCAGAAAAGTGATGTTTTGAGAGAAAAACCCATTTCTCTACGTATCAGACTCAACATACTCTCCATTCTGTATTCTGTACTTCTGTATTTCTCTTCTGCACTTTCGAAGTGTCAGATGAACTGAAATAATCCATTTCGAAATTACGATATATCTTTCATTTGAATCGGAGAAGTTCAGAATAGTGCAACTAAGTCATATCTAGAATACTCGTTCGTCAGTATCTCACATCTAGATGCAGTGCGCTAAGTGACCTATAACCACTGATGATCAGGACTTAGCTGGAGGATGTTGCCTAAGAATAGTTAAGGAATAGCAGAGTGTTAAGCGCGCCTGGTGAAAGACTAGAGAGTTCGAACTCCTGTATGTTTCTCATTTTCTTTTCTTTTTTTATGATGTATATTACAACGGAATTGCGTTTTCTCCCTATGCTTACAACAGGAATCGCAAATAGTATAGTATTTTATTACAGCGTAATCGAAAGCATGAGTGCTTGTTCCCCGAG